TTATATTCAGATATGCATATAAAAGTCAAAGTAACCAGTTTTTTCTTTAATTATATTGAGTTTTTATTTTATTAGTTAAATTTTTTTGCTTGAATAATTATTTTTTAACAAATGATTATATTAAAAATACCAGTTTATAAGTAAACAAATGACTATTTGAATGGTCCAAATAGCTTGTTATTGATAGATAAAGTATTTTCTATCTTGTTTTTGGTTTTGTAAATAATAGGTTTTATTTAACTTGTTAAAAATAGATATAATAGTATTTGTTAAGTTATTTTGCATTTACTTTAAAGTTTTTTATTTAATAAAAAGTAGAATTTACTTTTTTTCATGCTAATTATTCAGTTGAATGTTTTGTTATTATCTATTTTAAAAGTTATTGACTGTTGCTTCTGCTTCTATTGTACTTTGAATATTTGATGCAATTAATAGTTAAAGAAAAGCAAGCCATCGTTTTTAAGAATGTTATTGTTGCATATTGGTATAACAGGTAAGGCCTTTAAGTTGAATCTCGATTGTAAATTTTAGGCATATCTTAATAAATAGAAACGAATTTTTTTTTTTTATATCTTATGCATATAAAATGAAACAAAACAGATTTAAACAAATCCAATGTTTTTTTTAAAATACATGTGTATATAATTAAAATAGATGCAGGATTTAAAAATTTCAGACTGTAACATCATGAAATTAGGAACTTGGAAATAAGCAATTGTAAAATCGCTTGCTAGATAGTCTGGATTCTTTTATACTAAAGATGATATATAAAAAAAGATTAGAATAGCATAGGCCCAAAAATAATATCAAACTAGACATAAATTAGTTTTTAGAATTTTTTTGCAAGTTTACTTTAATAGTATATCTTCTAAATATTAATTTGTATTTTTATTTAGTTTTATGTATTAGCATCTCACTAAAAATTTTTTTAGTAAATTATTCATTTATGAAAGTCTGCATCACGCAATATAAAGTATTTTTATTAATTCATTAAAGGTGTAATAGGAGGTAAAAGGACATTACATAGATCACAAAAAAAACACGAGAATTATCTACACCGTAATATTCAAAGCTTTTGTTTTATGATGTAAACAAATGAAATTTGAGTAAAAAAAAAGACAATTCAGGATACTTAAAATTACTATAAATTGTAAAAAAAAAAAGTCCAACAAGAAAATTAAAGAGTTGTCGATGATGTTGATAAAGATAGTACTAGTTCAAATGTTCTGCAGCAAGCGAATTCGCAATCTTCTATCCAATTCTTTCCCTTCCTCTGAACAACTTAATTTCAACCCAATGCCAACGCCAAGGCATCAAACCACCAAAACCCGCCAGCTCTGGCAATTCCCTGCACCGAGTTACTCACAAACTCTTTGTTTCTGTTAAACTCTTTATCAATTCTGCTCAGACCTTCAAGAAACGCCTCATAATCCACTTGGGAAGGTATAAGCGGATCAGTTCCATTACTTCCTGGTCTACTCCATTGATCCTCTTCTTCATCCGTCAACAACGAATCGGACTCTGAATCCGAATTTTCGTCGGCGTTATGTCTGCGCGAGCGTTCGTCCCGCGAGTGATCATAGAATGATAAATTTTCACTTTGGTAACGTGTATACAATGTGCTGAACTGAATTGTTAGATCCAATACATCTAATATTGATTTATGGATAGGGACAGCCTACAGTAATAAAACAATCAATATAATCGGCGTGAAGAAAAGAAAACATTAATTAGATGAAGGGTGCAAACCTTTTCATTAAGGAGACAACGTTCATATACTTTCTTAATGTAGTGATCATGCAGAGTAATAATTTCATCAATATCAAAAACATCTTCTAGTCTCTTATGAAAATTTTCCGTTTCCAAGAGTATTATCTAAGGGGAATTTTTCGCACATGAATCATTATGTGAAAAGAAAAAAAAAAATGCAAATTGGATTGCTTCCTGACTAGCGAAACTTGTCTTACATTTCTCATAGCATAATCCCATATGGTGTTTAAAAACCATATTAACTTCATCCTTAGACCATAAAATAGTACCATGGCTGTGGTTTTTTCAGAGTGACCTTG